TGGGCCCAGACACGGTCCCCACCCAGCATGATGGGGAAGGGGTGGTAGGGGAAGGGGTGTGAGTGAGGCTCCTTCTCGTGTCAGCTGGGGATACTGAGGCTCATGCAGGGCCTGGTTGGAGCTCTGCCTTCTCTCTCAGAGAGCACCCACATTTCTGCAGTGCAAGAGAGTGACCTCAATCTGGTACTAGAGGAGTGCTGGATATGGAGGCTGGGGGCAGGGCCTCCCCTGGCCCATGTGGTGCCTTGGTGGGCATTAGAAGGTAGTGCCCCATGCTCTGGGCTGATGAATCTCATGCCAGGGTTTGGTGGGTGGGGCATGGATAGGACTTGAGCCCCACTCACGAGCCCTCTGCTAGAGGTCGGGGCACCCAGGACTCAGAGGCTGAGGTGTATGAGGGTGAGGCAGCATGGCTTACCTAAGGGAGGCCCTAGGGGCATCAAGGGACAGACCCTGCCTGCACCCAGATCTCTCCTTGTTGACTCTTCTGAAGCCACTAGGGAGCCAGTTGGTCTCATCTTGACCCACGTAGTAGCACTATCCTTGGCTCCCCACTCTTTCCTGCCAAGCAAGACCTGGCTGAACCCCTCCCTGGAGCCTCAGCATCAGCCCTTAGGTGAGTGGAGAGAACAGTAAATACGTCACCACAACATGGAAGCAGAGCCCCTAGTCCTGGGGTGACCATATAGCTGTAAGAAAATTCTCCATCCATGGGAGATGTGGAATCAGATGCCCTGAGCTCCATTTTCACACATCATACTAGCTGTGTGACTCTGAGCCAGTTGCTGAAGCTCTATATGCCTCAGTTTCTGCATTTATAAAACGAGGGTTAGTAGGAGTCTTCAAGATGATGCAGCAAGCCAAGTGCCTAGTTAATTGGTATTAATCTTGCCTGGGGAAGGGGGAAGAGTATCAGATTCTGAGGGGGTGACAGGGTGGAGGTCCAGGAGCTGAGTGCTTCGGTGCAGATTCCTGGGTCTCGTGCTGTTGGGATCTATACCTGGACACTGGTGGAGAACCCCATTGCCAGCTCTGCACCTACCTGTTGGACATGAGCCCCTCAGGACGGTCTGGAAGGAAGGCTGCAGTGTGAGTGGCCCCACTGTGAGAGGCGGCAGGCTGCAGGGTTTAGGGACAAAATCTGGGGTCTGGGAGCCGAGAGACTGAATCTCTGCTTTTTATGGGCTCTGTGACCTCTGATGAGTCACGCCACCTCTTTTGACGCAGTGTGACTGTCTGTTAAGCAAGGGGCCTGGATGAGGCTAGAGGTGCCCTGAGACTAACCTTCCTGGCAAACTCATTGGCTTGGGCCTTCAGAGTGGTTTTTTTTAAGCCAACACTTTCAAATTTGTATTTTTTCAATTTTGTAAAAATATTTTATATAAAATATGGAGATGGGGGTTCTATGGCAGATCAGAAGATGTGGAGATGTGGGCTTGTGTTGCTGCATGCTGTAGTGGGGAACCAAGGAGTGGGTGTCCCCCTCAACTGGGGCCTGCCCTCAGCAGGTCCTTGTGACCCCTTGCCCGCTCCCCTCATTGAACTTCTAGGTGACCCCCAATGGCTGTTACTGTGACCCTTGGGCAGCTGAGCTTGAAGGCCTTTACAGCTCTAAAATGCTCTGTGACCTTCAGATGCTGTGACCAGTGGTGACAAAGGAAAGGCTTAATGCCCTGGTAGGAGAGGGGTGGACATAAGAATGTTTTGATGGACAAGAGTCAAAGGAAAGGAAGACTGAATTGGATGGGGATGGGGCCTTGGCCTGGGAAACTCGTGGCATCACAGAAGGAGGAGCTGGAAGGGAACTTGGAGGCCATCAGCCTGGTTATACTGCAGGTAAAGGAAACTGAGGCCCAGGGAAGGGCCTGCCAGGCTCAGGCTCTAAGACCATTAGCTCATTCCTGCCCACACTCACCCTTCCTTCTGCCTTGGCTCCACCTGCCTCCAGGCCCAGGGCCAGCACCAGAGCCCACAGACCTGACTCTGTTTCTTCAGCTGGCTGCTGAGCAGGGGGCTGGAGGGAGGAGCGGAGGGAGGTCTCTGCATGCAGGGGGAAGGCAGGAATGGTGGGGATGACACAGGGTTGGGGCTGGGTTCAGAGGCTTCTGGATGCCAGTGTAGAGCCCCGGCCAGTCCTCCAGTGTGTACTCCATGTCTGCTGTGTGAGACAGGGGTCTGGGCACAGGGTGGGGATCCCAAGATGAACGAAACCATCCGGGCCTGTGGAGAGTCTGCAACTGGCTAGAGCTTGGCAGCAGGGCACCGGCAGCAGGCAGAGGTGGCTGCAGATAGGGTGGCACTGAAAGTGTGGGCAAAGGTGTACAGGCAGGGCTGCCTGAGGCCCTTTTGAGGGGAAGAGAAGGAAGGTTTGGGAAGGAAGCAGTGAATACTTACAGGAGGAAAATATGTGAGGACCCATTGACTAATTGATTGGGTGATTGAGTCATTCTTCAACCATGTCTGCTGCCTACTATATGCCAGGCTCTGGGGATACAAAACACAGGACATGTCCTTGCCCATGTGTGGGTGGGGGTGTAGACACCAGGCTGTGAAGGAGGAACAAAGGCTGACAAGCCTGGAACAGGGTCATTACACACAGTTGGAGACACCTCAGTTGGCAGAGTCAACATTCAACAGGGAGAATGGTGGTTAATTAGCAGGAAGGACTTCCTGATGATGAGCGATTAATATACAGGAGAGACCCCACAGGCTTGGAGAAGGGGGATGGGGGTATTCTGGAGAGAGGGTTTCTCCAAGGGAACCCCCAACACTAGGGTCCCCCACTTCCATTCTCGGTCCTAGCTGAGGAGCCTAGGGAGGCAGCAGGGCCTCCTTGGGCTGCGTGGGAGGCCAGACAAGTTGGTGTCGCTGTGACTTGGTCTTTGGTCTGGTTTTCCAGTATTTCTGGGAAGCTCCAAGGTGATTTCTCAGAACTCCAGAGAAAGCTGCCTGTAGGCATCTTCAGTGACGCCAGCAGTGAAGGGCCTCCCGAAGACCACTCCCCTTTGCTTGCCTGGTGCTCTAGCCCGGGGAGATGGGAGGGTTTGCGGAGGTTTGTCTATGGACATCCCCAGCCATGACTGCAGGCCCAACCCACTGTGGAACAGTGGTTCATTTCAGTGTTGGTTCATTTCAGTGACATAAAATGTCAGTGAAGCCCCAGTAGGCTTGGGGTAGGGAGTCCAGAGGAGCACTGTGATCCTGGCAGGGAAAAGATGCTAGAGGCAGGATCTTTCCCAGCCCTAGAGCTCTGAAGGACTTGGAGAAGTATGCAGAGGGGACCCTGACTCCTTTAACAGAACAAAGACTCTTCACTCAGGTACCAGCTTTAGGAAGGATGGGAAATTGGCACTTCACTTCAGTGTCCTCCTCTGACTTCTCAGAACCACCAAACAATAGATGGTTAGTTCCTGGTGCCGTGGACAACCTGTGTATGCGAATACAGCAGTCTTTTTTCAGATGAAGAGTCAGTGTTTCCCCTTCATTCTGGGGTTTCCCAGGTAGATGTCTTGGGTGGTCCCTGGGCTGGGAGTCTGCACAAGTGGCTGGGCAGGTCCCGTGAAGGAGGAGGCCGGTAGTTGCACGGTATGTGGTGCTGACGGAGAGCGGCATGGCGTGGCCTTGGGTGAGTGGGGGAGGGAGGCAGGGGATCTGTAACCCTTTGTGCATGTGGCCCCGGTGCATGTATAGCACAGTGTGCATAGGAAGCCAGGCAAGAGGACTTTTCATGCTAAGTGACTCAGTCTAGGAAAGAGGTCTCCTAGTGCCTACCCTGGGCGGGCTCTTGTGTGTTGACGTGAGTTGGACTACGTCCTTGTGTGTGTGTGTGTCCACAGGAGGGTGTGGGACTGAGCCCTCCCTCCTTCTCCTGGACAGCTCCAAAGAGCAGAACGGGTGATTCATTGGCCCCCACCCACCCACAGTTGGTCCAGCCAAGGCCAGAGCTCAAAGACGAAGGGTGTTTTTGGAGGGGAACATGGTGGTTCCAGACAATGAGGGCCTGGGGCAGACTTCGCTGGATTCCCCCTTAGTGCTCCCTGGGAATACTTTTGGGTTCTGACCCAGCCTCCTTTCCACCCTCTAGACCCCAACAATTGTCCCTGGGCAGAGGTGGGGGCAAGGGGAGGGGAGGGCTGGTGGGCAGGGGACGCTGTGGGGAAGAAGGAGGCCTGTGGAATGGTGGGAGGGGAGAACTGGGCCCAAGGAGGGGGAGAGGGGAGGAGGGGAAGGAAGTGGGGAAATGCAAACCAAATGTTGGCCCTGGGTACAGTCAAGAAAAACATACTCTCGCGGGAGCCTGGAGCGGGGTTCCCTTTCAGAAAGGCAGGAAGGGCTGGGACAGATGTTTGGAGGAAAGAAAGAAAGAAGGGGGAAAAAAAAAGAAATAGGAAAAAAATTGGAATGAAACTCACAGCCTGGGGCCAGGGCCATTCTTCCCCAGTCTCGGGCCTGATTTCTTCTGTGTTAAGGCCTGTCCTGGGCTCTGAGCTTGGCGCGTGGGCACCAGAGTCTGTCCCAGTCTGTGTGTGCAAATGCATGTGTGTTCCGAGGAGGCCAGGAAGGCAGGAACGGGTACTTGGAGAGGGGGAGGGGCCAAGGCACCCTGAATGTGCCGGCTGTGCGGGCCTGGAGCTGCCTGTTCATCCATCAGTGGTCCGGAGGGTTCCAGGAGTGAAGGCCCCCAGGCTGGTTTGCCGGGGGTGGGGGTCTGCAGTGAGGAGGGAGGACTCTAGGCCTACCAGCACCAGATCAGAAGACGGAGGAGCCTTAGTGGCACACAGGGGTTTTGTGTCCCGGGGTGGGGGCGCGGCTTAGGGGGGCCCTGTCTCTGGTAGCTGTCTCTTTTCCCTGTCCCCTTTACGCCCCTGCAAAGCAGGGCTCCTGACCCTCAAGGCCACCGGTGGAGCCTGGGAGGAGGGAGGAGAGAGGAGGCTGGGACGAGGGGGTGGAGTGGGGGAGAGGAGGAGGAGGAGGAGGGAGGGTGAGCTGGAGGCAGCAGGGCGAGAGGCCCAGCAGATGCTGGCGGAGCTGGAGCAGCAGCGGACTCAGAGAGCCCTTCTACCAGCGCCGCGGGGACTCTAGCTTCAGGGGCTCTTCGCAGGCCCTGGGCGTGCCCCAGGGACGGGACCCGGCAAAGATGACGTGGATCTGTCTGTCCTGCATGCTCTGGGTAGGTCTGGCTGCTTTAGCTACGACATTACTCTTCCTTAAGCCTCCCGTCCCCCAGCGGCCCCTGCCACCTTATCCTTTCGCTGAGAGCCTGGGGTGGGGGGTGTCAGTCTTGAAGGAGGGGCCTTTCTGTCTCTGACCTACAGAAGGACAGACTGACTTGAGCAACCCTCAGCCGGAAGACTTTCCCCACCAACAGGGCCCAGGCCCAGGGACCCGGGTCAGTACATCCCCTGTCCCACCTCCCCGCCCCCCAGTGGAGTCCCAGAGCTGTAAGTGGAAGGAAGCCATGGAGAAGTTTGCTTCTCTTTAGAGCCTTTCCCCCTAACTCACATCCCATAATGGGGCGAAAATTCTTCACCGCCCCCCACTCACTTGCTGAGCCCAAGAGCTTGAGGAGGAGGCAGTGGTGGGGCTGGGGAGCAGAGAATAGTAGCCCTGAATATTAAGTCTGGAAGAGCTGGACTGGGGGAGAATTCTCAGATTCCATCCCCTTTATTCCTTCTACACCCAGTTTCAGCTTCTACCCACTGCCATCCCTTCCTCCATAGCTCTCCCCTGCTACCAAGATTTCCCCATCCCAGAGAAGGGAGCCATGGCCTGCTCTTCCCCCATTCTTTCTTGGCCCCAGGTTCAAGAAGGTGGGTCCCAGGATGGGGATGCCTGGGGGGCCAGCAGAGAGGCCTGGGGGCCATGTGGTGAAGGTTAAAAGTCTTAAGGCCAGACCTAGGCTGAGGCTCCTGGGAAAAGGGGGATGGGAGAGGGCTGCCTGCTGCAGAAGGGCTGGGGGTCAGAGGAGGAGAGGATCCCTTCCTCAGAGGGGCTCCTGTGGGACTGTCTTGGCTAGGCAAAGGCATGCATGGGGTCAGGAGGGCGAGGAAGTCGTCCCTGGCTGAGGTTACTGTTGGGCTCTGAGAGAGTGATGACTGGTTTGGGGGAGGGGGCTTCAGGACTGTGATCCAGATGTGGCCTTTCCTGTCCCTTTCCTTGTTCTGGCCACTCCTTGGGAGGGCCCTCTTGGCCCAGGCAAGCCCATGCTGGGGTCAGTTGTGGGAACACAAACTTGGGCAGCCAGGTATCCTCTGGGCAAAGAAAGAAAGGGTTGTGGAGGGGCCTGGAATGAGGAGGTTTGGGTGGCATGTTGGGCCAGGGTGCTGGGATGGGTTGGATTAATAGATTGAGAGTGACTGCGGAGGCCTGCACACAGGATGCATTTGTGGTTTACTGGGCTGGTGTTGACATCTGGAAAATGGGAGCCTTGGCCAGGTTCGTCTCTGTGCTGAGGACAGAGGTAGGCAGGAGGGAGATCTGCAGCAAGAAGGAGGGCAGGTAGACGTCCAGGGGTGACACAAGAAGGAGGGCAGGTAGACGTCCAGGGGTGATGAGCTGCTATGAATGGAGAGAGGGCTCTATAGCCCCCTTCAGCTGACTGATATTGGGAAAAGTGCCTCATCCCAGTGAGCCTCTGCTTCCCCATGGGTGAAATGAGGATTTTAGACAAACGGGGTGCAGAGAGGTAGGGATGAGATTTTGTATCCTATTCCCCAGGGCACTGCCTGGCAGGTAGAGTGCTCTATGGGTGTTATACCCTCCCTGAGAGTAGGGGGAAGTCTGGGGACCAAGGCAGCTGTAGGTCTCCTTGAGTGTCTTTATTGTTATTTATTCATTTTTAAAAATTGAGATGGAGTCTTGCTCTGTCGCTCAGGCTGGAGTGCAGTGGCAATATCTTGGCTCACTATAACCTCCACCTCCTGGATTCAAGCAATTCTTTTGCCTCAGCCTCCCGAGTACCTGGGACTACAGGTGTGCGCCACTATGCCCAGCTAATTTTTATATTTTTAGTAGAGATGAGGTTTCATCGTGTTGGCCAGGCTGGTCTCGAACTCCCGACCTCAAGTGATCCACCCGTCTCAGCCTCCCAAAGTGCTGGGATTACAGGCATGAGCCACCATGCCCAGCCTTGAGTGTCTTTGACTAGAAAAGCTTGTGTCCCTCCCCTGCCTCCTTTTCCTCTCCTCTCCTGGTCCCCATTCTTTCTTGGCTGGCTGTGATGCCCATGGCCAGGGTGGGCCAGAGACTGGGGCAGTAGGAACTGGACAGAGGAAGCAGTCCTGGCACCAGACAGGACTAGGCTCAAACCCTATTTCCATCATTTGGTGTGGGCAGGCTTGGTAAAACAGTTCCCTTCATGAGCCTCAGTTTTCTGATCTGTAAAGTGGTGAGAATAATATACTCCTTGTATGACTAGGGTGGGGAAAGAGACAATAGATGTCAAAAGATCAGGTATGTAGGCATACAGTAGGTGCATACAGCAAATGCTGGCCCCTTTCCCATTCCACAGTCTCCTGCCTGGTTCTTGGGATCCTCTGTATCCCAGACCTGGGGGATGGATGCTGGGGGAGGATCTCCCTGGGAAGGGTGTCATGGGACAGGGCTCTACTCCTTGGGCTGTGTCTCCTGACTGCCCAGGGACTCTGACCAGCTACTCTGAGGCCAGGAACTGGCTGGGTCGGTGGCCTCAGGGAGGATCTGTCAGAGATAGGTCTTGTGCCCTAGACTGAGTGCTTGCATCTATTGGTTCACATGTTCCTGTATAGGGAAAGCTGCAACTGTGTCATCTAAGAAGTAATGTATCTGGAGTGCGTAGTTTTAACAAGCCCTAGGAATAAAAATCACTTTATTAGCTGAGGAGCAGAGCTATTTATTATGCATAACTTGATTTTCTCATCAAGTGCGCCCATTTGCTATTACATATTCAAGTATGGTTTATTTAGAAAATAATTGCATGGCTAGCAATTGAGGCTTTTTGATGTTGTGCGGTGGAGTTAGAGGTACAGGCCCTTCCTTCCGGAGGGGCTCGCTCTGTGCTCAGGAACAGGGAAGGGGCTCAGGGTGAGGCTGAAAGAGCCACCAGGCAGGGCCTGGGAGTCAAGTGCAGCTTTGGCCCTGCCCTGAGCAAGCTGAGTGGTCTCAAGCTGGTTACTCGACTTTTCTGGACCTCGCTGAAACTTGGACACTATTCTCTAAGGCCACATCCAGCTGCAGATGATAATGTATTCTGTTTCCTGGAGTTGGTGTCCTGCCCAGTGCTAAGCACACATTTTTGACAGAAGGGTCCTCATGAGCTCTGGATTCCTTGTGCACAATTCCAGCCATGCAGACCCCAATCTGTCGCTTTGGTCCTGAATTCGTTCTGTTCTCTCTAGTTTGGTTGACCTGTAAGGGCCTCCTGACTGTGGGTTTGGGAGGTAGGCTGGGCTGCATGAGAATCGCCAGGGTCTGAAATAAGACTCTCCTTTTGTAAAGTTTTGCAAAGTGATGTGTGAGGCACAAGATTGGGGGGCAGCACTGCCCTTTTTTTCTGCACTGTTGAAAGGAAGTGTAGCATGCTGGCCGAGAGTGCAATGCCTGGGTTGGATCCTGGGTGGGCCTGTCACTTGACAGCTGTGTGACCATAGGCAAGTAGTTTCACATCTCTGTGCTTTAGTTTCCCCACCTACCTAAAGGGTTGTTCGGTTTTGAATGAGCTAATCCACACACGCATTTAGAAAAGTGTCTCTCACATATAAGAGCTCAATAAATGTTAGTGCTTCTTGTAGGATGGCACATTTTCAAGGCTACCCGGCAAGTCAGAGTTGAGACTCCAACCCCATCTGCTGCATCCTCTGCCAGGGTTCTCCATTCTGGGAATGCTTTGGGGCAGGGCATGTGGGGTCTGTGAGAATCAAGCCCTAAGAATGACGCATGAGCCCTAAATCAGTGAAGAGGACTGTGGTGGGCAGCCCAGGGTCAGGGCATGGTGTTGGGGAGGTCGTGTGATGGAGGAAGCATCCCGTCATTTGGCTTTCTAACTACACTCCCCATGCACCTTTCCATCCTTTTCACGGATTATGAGGGAGGGCCTGCTCTCTTCAAGTTGCTTGCACATATTAGGCACATGATTGCAAGCAGGATGGGTGTTACCAAGAGGGAACCTCTGGGGGATGTAAGTGGGACCTAACCTGGACTGGGGGAGGAGGTCTCAGGAAAGACTCCTTGGGAGATGAATTTTAAACTAGATCTACAGGTGAGTCTGGCCAGGCACAGTGGTCATACCTGTGATCCCAGCACTTTGGGAGGCCAAGGAGGGAGGATTGCCTGAGCCTAGAAGTTCAAGATCAGCCCGAGCAACACAGTAAGACCACGTCTGTATGAAAAATAAATAAGCTAGCTAGGCATGGTGGTGTGCGCTGGTAGTCCCAGCTACTTGGAGGCTGATGTGGAAGGATCACTCGAGCCCGGGAGGTCAAGGCTACAGTGAACTATGATTACACCACTGCACTCCAGCCCTGGCAACAGAGCAAGGCCCAGGGCCATGCAGGAAGGGCCCTGGGCAGGTTCCTCACTCCAGCGTAGGGCATCATTGTGAGGATTAAATGAGGAAGTCCATTCCAATCCCTCACTAGGGCACCTGGCCCCACTGATGGGGTCTCAGACTAGCCCCATCTCTGAACCCTTCCATGCCAGGACATGATTTTGTTTCAGTGCAGAAAATGGGCTTGATGCATCAGAAATGTGGGCAACCTGCATTAAGAAGGGCGGGGGGGGGGGGGGGGGGGAGAGAGAGAGACACTGATGGAGAGAACTCATCTTGCTCAGGAGAGAGAGAGAGACAGACAGACACTGATGGAGAGAATTCAGCCCGCTCAGGAGAGACAGAGAGAGAGAGAGAGAGAGAAAGAAAGAGAAAGACCCTGATGGAGAGAACTCATCTTGCTGAGGAGACTGAGTCAGGAGTTAAAGGCTCTTGGGCAGTGGCCTGGGAAGTGCTGGGGAAATGTCACTGTCTGCCTTCCTTCTTTCCTTGGCGATTCCCGGTGATTGGAGTCCAGGAGCATCTCAGCCAGAAGATGACAGCACCTGGTCACCTGGTGTCTTGGCTTGTGGCGAGGGTGGCCCCACGTTCTCTCTCTTCTGAGGGCAGGTCCATGGGAATGGGGTGTGATTTCACTACAGAAAACAGAGGCCAGGCAGTAGCTTTACCCATGTGATTCTTCAGACTTGTGCTGGATGCGGAGGACACGGAGCAGAGGTGTGTCTGACACGTCTACCTGGCGGGTAGTCTGACGCACACAGAAAAGACAACACGAATCGCTCACTGCTGCTGAGCGCTCACCATGCGCTAGGCCCCATTCCACCGACTTTACAGCACAATCTCATTTCATCCTCACAACAGCCTATGGGAGGTGACTGTCATTGGTCCATTGAACAGATTAGTAGAGTGAGGTAGAGCAAGTTAAGCTATTTGCCCAGGTAACAAGTGCAGGGGCCGTTAGACTGCAGCAAGTACTGTGGTGAGGCTCAAAGAAAGAGCGACTGGGAAAAGCAGGGGACACCGAGGTAATCATATTCCTCCCCAGAATCTTAGTCTGCACTGATGCGTGAGGAAATGACCAAAATCCAAATCGAGGAGCATTCTGCAAAACATCTGCCCTGAAACCTTTAAAAACATCAGTGTCAGAAAGAAAAATGAGAGGTGGATAACGTGCCTAGGTTAAAGGATGAGAGACTTAGCCACTAAAGGCAGTTCAGGATCCTGATTGCGTCCTGAATCCAAAATGAAAACGAAAACAATGCCCCGGCTCTCATGGACATTCTTGGGGCAGTAGAATGACTGTATTAGACAACGGGATTGTACTGATGCTGAATTTCTGAGTGTGATCATAGGGAAAGGGAACATACGTGTTCATCTTTTCCAAAGCTTTTGCACTTTTCAAACTGAAATGAGGAGACAGCGGGTGAGGAAATGGATTCTGACAGGGATCCAGGGGTATCTGGGAAGACCCCTGATGAGGGGATGAAGTTTGAATCAGGCCCTTGAAGGTGTCTAGAAGCTAGACAAGCAAAGAGGGGAGGAAGGGCATTCTGGCCAGAGGCTCAGAGGTGCAGAGGGGTGGCGGGTGGCTGGGGAGTGTGGAGCAGCCTGGGTGGACACAGGGCAGGGAGTCAGGAAGTGGATCCTGGGGATTGGGACTGGCAGGGTGGGCTGGGTAGGGACCAATACTTCTTCCCCTGCTGGCTCCAGGGAGGGCAGGGTTTATTCCGGACACATGGGAAGACATGGCAACATTTGGGGTGAGTGGAGGTGCCAGACCCTACAGAGCTGTAGTTGTGATCCTAAGAGGCTGTGTAGTGTAGGGGCTATGGGTGGGAGTGACCTGGTGTTGGGGCCCAGGAGGCTGCTGCAACAGCCCTGGGGAGAAGTGCCAAGGCCTCATATAGGGCAGAGGCAGTAGGATTAGAAAGCACAGGATGATGAGTGTTTAGGAGGCAAAATTCACAGGATTTGGCAACTGGTTAGTTGGGGGTGGGGGAGGTGCAGGGAGGAGTTGAGAGTGACTCAGAGCTTTCCACTTGGGGCGACCAACAACATGGTCAGGCCAAGAACATGGCTAGGCATGGGGGTGGGGGACTTGTGTGTGTGTAAAGGTGAAGTGGGGTTGGAGGAAGCTGGAATTTGAGGTGCCCATGGGACTCCCAGAAGCCAGCCTGAAGCCCCACTGGGGATCTGAGCCTTTCTCACACAAACGATGCTGGATGCCCACCAGGCCTCCCAGCCTAAGGGTGAGGGGGGATGGGGCAGTGGATGGCTAGTGGGCTGAGCGAATGTGAGAGGAGTTGACCTCCCAGGTCTGCCCTAGGCCTGTGTGTGGTGATCCCCTTCCCTGGCTTGCAGACTCCAGCCCTCTCCCCACATCATCCAGGGCTTTTTGGCCACAGGAAGGCTTGTGGAAGGTAGCGCTGAGGCAGTTTTGTAGGAGGAGCTCAGGAGCTGGGAACCCCGGGGTCTATCACCCCCTTTCATCACCACCCAACCCTCACTGCTGCTCTGCCCCCACGGGGCAGGGAGGAACCAACAAACAGACTTTCCCACCCCAGGGCCAAGGACTCTCGCCAAGGCTGTCCAAGCCAGATGTGCCACACCCCTCCGGCTGGGCCGCCTGGGCAGGAAGGCTGGGCTGCATGGAGGGAGGGAAGGGAGAGGAAGCCCCGAGGGCCACGAAAGCCCTCTGATGCTGGGCGGGCTGGCCGCAGAGGGGGGGCTAGAGCTCTGGGCTTGGAGGGAGGAGAAGAAGGACTTACAGGCTGGAGCCTTCCCCTTTTCTGTGCCCTGGCTCTTGAGAGAGGTGGGGGTTGGGGGGTGGGGGTGTGGAGAGACCAGGCGGCTCCAAGCTGTGGCTGTGCCTCCTTCTGCCCCTGAGTTTTCCCCAGGTAGGTTCCTTTGGAACCAGCAAAGGAAGGGCCCCGGGGTGTGCTCCGTGAGGCTGTCTGCCACTTGTCAGGAAAAATGACGATCGTTGTCATAACAAGCCATTACCCTTGAACAGCACTTTGCACTTTATGGGGCTTGTTTACATCCTCTGCCTGTACCTGCAGAACAACCCGGGGGGAGGGCTGGATGGGTACCAGGCACCCCGCTTTTCTTCTTAGCCCATATTTTAGCATCTGATTGTTAAGTTCTTTTTTCCCACTGAGTCTCACTATGCCTTCTTGCAGTGCCTGCCCACTGGTTTTGGTTTTGCCTTCTGAACTTCACAGATGACGTCTGGTGCCTACTTACAATGACTCTTCCTTCATATATTTGAGGATAGAAAGCTAACCGACCCTAGATTTTCTCCTCTAGCATCCTGGGAACATCAAACCTATGGGATGACTGTTTTAACAAGATCACCTCAGTGACCCTGTTTTACAGTGGAACTAAGTGGATGCCAGCAGAGCCTGGGGCCCCTTGCCTGGAGGTGGCAGAGCTGGTCCCTCGCTCCCACAGAGTGAGGGACTTCACAGCTTCCACCCTTCACAGCCTCCTCCTTGGAGGAGTGATGTCTCCTCATTCATTCCACTCTCTGAATCATCCGCAAGTCCCGCCCTCATCACTTTCAGTCGCTTCATTCCAAAGGGACTGTTGTGTCATTTCCCCTCTCTCTACACTCAGACTGTCTGGTCCAAACTCCTCATTTTTCATCTGGGGACTGTGAGGCTCAGGAAAGGTCACTGATATTCTCAATGTCACAGAGCCTAGAAGGCAGGTCTCCAGACTCCTCCCCCAGTGCTCGCTCAGCCACAGCCAGGACCCAGTAGGGCTGAGGGGCAGGAGTGTCCCGGAGCATCCCCCGTGGCTGCTTAGAGAGGCCTGAGCGGGGCCAGAGATGGACCTGAAGCCCTGTCCCTGCCCTCCAGGCCCCAGGAGTGAAAGATTTTGTAAACTCAGATTTCTTGGGGCTGCGCTGGCAGAGCAGGCAAACTGGGGCCCCTGGGAGAAGCTGGTCTGGAAGGCTGCACATGCCACTCATGGGGTCATTGGGCTGCCAGGGCTGTCTTCTGGGAGACTCTGCTGCCCTAACTGTGCTTTGGGAAGAAGGCCTATATCCCTAGGCTTTGGGAAAAGGGCTGGATATGGGGCACGGGGAGGGAAGTTTGCCGGGTAAGCGGCAATGGGCTTTGCCTGACTTAGTGGGGTGGGAGAGACAGGCTTGGGGATTGCCAGAGTCGGACCGGGAAAGCTGGCTTTAGGGTTTCCTTTCTGCCTCCCCCAGACAGCACTTAAACTGAATCCCAGGTCCCCCCTCTGCACCTCCCCCCACCCCAGGCCTGGACTGCTGCAGTTGACACTGACCAGGGCCCCCTCCCTGGCATGTTTGTGGCAAAAATCTAAGGGAAGTCCCTCAAGTCCAGGCCTGAGACAGAAACCAGGGGAGGTGAGACAGGTGAATAGAAGGGACCTACCTTCCCCTTCTCGTGGGATGGGGTTCACAGAGTGAGGCCCAGAGCTGGGCAGTACCCTGCCCGACCCTCACCCCAGCCCCAACCGAAGCTCCTAGAACCCAGCTCTCTTGAATATCAGAACCCAGGAGGTGGCTGGCTGGATCTACCCTGCAGAGGCCTCCATGGCCACCAGGGGGCACTGCTGGGCTCCAGCTCCCCACCCTCAGCAGTCCCCACCTCTAGCCTGGGCTTTTGTCTCTGCTCCCCCACCCCTGCTGTCTCTGCTTGTCTCTCTGAATTTCTAACCAACTTCAGAAAGGTTGAAAATACAGTGCAAAGAATATTTCTCCGCTCCAGAACTCGGAGAGTAAGTTGCTGACATGATGTCCCACCACCCTTAAATACCTTTCCTGATTTTTCTACAAGGACTCTCTTACCTGAGCAGCCCCGCTATCAAAATCAGGAAACTGACATGGATACCTTACTACCATTCAATCTAGACCCAGGGAAGTCCCGCCAGTGGTCCCAGTGATGTCCTGTGGGCATCAACAGAACCTGGTTCAGAAGCTGCCATTACTTTTGGTTGTCAAGTCTTTTTGCTGCCTTCAGTCTGGAAAGCTCCTCACCCTTTCCTTGATTTTCATGACCTTGTCACTTTGGGAGATTCCAGGACGTTTAATGTGTAGGCCGTCCCTTAGTTTGGGTTGGCCTGATGTTTCCTCGTGATTAGATTCAGGTTGAGGCTTTCTGGCAGGGATATCGCAGAAGTGGCGTCTGTTCTCAGTGCACCCATGCTCCGAGCTTGGCTCCATCATCCCATTACCATTGGAATGATGCTAAGTTTGATCACTTGATTAAAGTGGAGGAAGCCAGGAAAAGTTACTTTCTTCCTCTTTGTAATTTCTAAGTATGATGTGGGGAGGTGCTTGGAGATGATGTAAATATCTTGTGCCTTATCAAACTTTGTTTATTCAGTTACAGTCATGAGTCACTTAACAATGGGGATACATTCTGAGAAATGTGTTGTTGGGGGATTTTGTCATTGTGCAGACATAGAGAGTACTTTTATATATCCAGATGGTACAGCCTACTGCACACCTATGCTACTGTACGGTATAACCTGTAGCTCCTGGGCTAAAACCCTGCACAGCATGTCACTGTACTGAACCCTGTAAGCTGGGAACTGTATATCTAAACATATCTAAATGTAGAAAAGGGACAGTAAAAATACAGTATTATAAGTTTATGGGACCACTGTTGTTATGTGGCGATGACTGAATTTCTGATTGTCAGCATACACACGTATAAGCCATTCCTATCGTCAAGTATTTTGATGCTCTGATCTTCCTGGATTTGGCCTTTGGGAGCTCCCATGTCCTTCTGTCTCTCTTTGAGCCTCTGACCCCCTTGTTAGTTTCTGCGTGTCTCTGTCTCATCTCTCTCATTCTCTCTGTCTGCCTTTATCTTGGTCTTTCTTTCTTCTCTGTCTCTCTGTTGCTCCTCTCTCTCTGTCCTGTCTGCTTCCCGCACCCCTCTCTCTCCCTTGTCCTTTTCTCTTTCCCTCTGCCCCTCTATGCCTTTGCCTCTTTGCCTCTCTGGCTTTCTGCCTCTGACTCAGTCTCATTTTGTCTGTTTTTCTCTCTGTGTTTCTATGACTTAGTCTCTGTCACCCAGGACTCACCTCTGCAGTGTCTTCAGATAGGAGTCCTAGACACGTGGGCTTGTGTGTAGGACACCGTCATTATACCTGCTCTGGACTCACAGTCCTCCTCCCCAGCCTCTATTTCAGACCCAGGGGGCTCTGGGGCAGGTGCAAGGAGGGGAACAGGAACAAGTGGACTTTCCTCCCACATGCTCCGCACACTGCACGGCTGGGATCGTGTCTCTGTGTGTGCGCACATGTGTGTGGAGGGGTATCAGAGAGGTCTGTGCCTGGGAGAGGGGAGAGAGGGAGCTGCTGGTGTCTGTGTCTTGCTCCCTTCTGCTACAGCTGGGAAGGGAATCAGGTTAGACCCCAGGGTGAGTGCCTGGAGCAGGGGATGCTTTCCCTGAGGAGTCCTCCAAATAGGGGCACCCATCCCCCACCGTGGGGCCTGCAAGCTGGGCAGTGTCTGTGCAGGGCTCTGCATCTTAGAGCATGTTCCCATATGTGATTTCAAAGGACAGACTGTCAGAGCTCCAGGGGTGTGGTGCCATCCAGAGAGAGAAACTGTGGTAGTGGTGGAGGGGCGACTGACCCAGGGCTTTATGGTAAGTCAGGCTGAGAGGAAGGTTTGGGCCACCAGCCTGCCTCTCATGCATGAGGTGGTGTCATTTAAAAAGGATAGCCACATCTCTGTGTTTTCATAATGCAAAGAATTGAAAATAAAAATAAAGATGGAAGAAGCCTTCTGGGCTGGGGCAGGGGATGGTGGAGAGGGTGGAATGGGGAGAGAATGAGGGGAAATGGCATTGTGGGGTCATGGGTTAGAGAAGCGAAGGCCTATCAGCAGTAGAGCAGACAAGTAAACCTGCTGCATCTACACAATGGGACGGCGCACGGCAGGGACAAAGGAGGAGCTGCGCTGGATGCAGCCACCTAAAGGGACCTCAGACTCATGGTGTGTGAAGGAAGCCAAACGCAAGACTATGCACTGGATAATTTCATCTTGAGGAAGTTTAAAAATCTGGCACCGTGACTCTTTGGTGATGGAAGCCACAATAGTATTAACCTTGGGGAGAGGAATGGGCGAGGCCATGAGGGAATCTTCAGGGAGGTGGCTCTGTGGGGTGTATGTGTGGAACATATTGAGCGATACATTTAAAATGAGCGCAGTCTGCTGTGTGTGAGCCATGCCTTCGTAATAAATGAAAAAAAGCCAAGGTAGGAAGCCATGTGGGGGCTGCAGGTCCCGGAAGCTGAGCTCTCCAGCTGCTGTCTGGACTCAGGCCACGGGCCCCACCTGAGTCTGGGATGAATGTCCTGCCACCCCACACCTTTCTCTGTCCCTGGGACCTCCTCCCTCCTCTGGACCCTGAGGGGCTCTTGCCATCCTTTTCCCAGTCTCTGCCTACCTCTCCCCCAGGTTCCTCTACTCCTTCCCCAGGACCCCAGCCTTCTACCCAGGGCTGACTCTGTGCCTCTCCTCCCACAGCCAGAGGATCTGGAGGCCCCCAAGACACACCACTTCAAGGTGAAGACCTTCAAGAAGGTGAAGCCCTGTGGGATCTGCCGCCAGGTCATCACCCAGGAAGGCTGCACCTGCAAAGGTGAGCAGCTGCCTGGGCTGTGGGGGATGGGAGCACCCATCAGGGGAACGAGATGACTGGGCCTGGGCCAGGCTGGGACTCTGCTGTGCACACATCCTTGGGGTCCCAACCTGATGCCTTGTTCTTGTCTGGTGGAGGATGCTGAGCTCACTGGATGACAAGCATGTGGGTGGGTGTGGTGGGCATGGCAGGTGGAGGGTGGCGTGGAAATGGAATGCTTGTATGAGGATGAATGGCATGAAGAAACTATATGGGTGTCATGTGAGTGGCATGAAGAAGGTATATGAGTGGCATGTGAGTGGCATGTGGAAGATGCATGATTAGTATGTGGTGGCATGGGGAGGTTGTGTTGAGGGTGTGTGGATGGCGTGTGGAAGGTGTGTGGATGATGTATGCTGAGGGTGTGTGGCTGGTGTGTGGATGGTGTGTGCTGAGGGTGTGTGGCTGGTATGTGGATGGCGTGTGGATGATGTATGCTGAGGGTGTGTGGCTGGTGTGTGGATGGCGTGTGGATGATGTATGCTGAGGGTGTGTGGCTGGTGTGTGGATGGTGTGTGCTGAGGGTGTGTGGCTGGTGTGTGGATAACTTGTGGTCTGTATGTAGAAGCTGTGTGGAGGGTTTGTGGCAGGTGCATTGAGGTCATGTGACTGACGTGTTTTGAGGCGTGTGGATGGGATGTGGTTGGTGTGTGGAAGTCGTGTGGGTGGCATGTGCTTGGCACTGGGAGTTCTGCAAAGAAAGGATGCCCCAGCCCACATCATCCTCATGCCATCCACACACCAGCCACACACCCTCAGCACACATCATCCTCATGCCATCCACACACCAGCCACACACCCTCATGGTGTGCTGAGGGTGCGTGGTTGTGGATGGTGTGGCTGAGGGTGTGTGGGGCTGCAGGTGATGGGCGGTGGATGATGTGGCATGAGGATGTGGCTGGTGTGGATGGTGTGCTGAGGGTGTGTGGGTTGTGTGATGGCGTGGATGATGTGGCGTTGAGGGTGCGGGCTGTGTGGATGTGTGCTGAGGTGTGGCTGGTGTGATGGTATATGCTGAGGTGTGGCTGTGGATGGCATGAGATGATGTGCTGAGGTGTGGTTGTGTGTGGATGGTATGAGGATGATGTGTGCTGAGGTGTGTGGCTGTGTGTGGATGGTATGAGGATGATGTGCTGAGGTGTGGTTGTGTGGATGGTGCATGAGGATGATGTGCTGAGGGTGTGTGTCAGTGTGGATGGCATGAGGATGATGTGTGTGCTTGAGGGTGGCTGGTGTGGATGGGTATGAGGATAGATGTGCTGAGGTGTGTAATATGTGGATAACTTGTGGTCTGTATGTAGAAGCTGTGTGAGGGTTTGTGGGTATGTGCATTGAGGCTGCGTGACTGATTGTTTTGAGGCGTGTGGATGGGATGTGGTTGGTGTGTGGAAGTCGTGTGGGTGGCATGTGCTTGGCACTGGGAGTTCTGCAAAGAAAGGATGCCCCAGCCCTCTCCTGTGGCAGCTCAGAGGTGACTTTAAGAGGCCCTGAGTCAGACTCAGTGGAGGACTTGCTGTCTGCCAGGCTTTTCAATCACTATTTTCATGAGCTCCTGGAATGGCCTGGGGCTTGGCTGTCATTATTGCCTGAAAAGTTGGGTCTTGCCCCAGATCACACAGTGAAATCAGCAGGATCTCCCTGCACCCAATATCAGTGGCTGACACCTTCACTCACCCCGTTGCCCCATCTGATGCCTCCCTCTCCTTCACCCCCACATCCCACCAATTGCAGGGCCTCCCAAGGACAGCTGGAGTCCCCGAGCTTCTTGGCATCATCCCCTCCCAATTCCACTGTCGTCATTTCTCATGTGGGCGACTGATTCACCTTTGCCTTCTCCTGTCTCCTAACTTATTCTCAGCAACCCACCCTCCACACCAGCTTCCAGTGGGACTTAAAAACATAAATCCAGTTATGTCAGCTCCTGGCTCAAAGCCTTTGGGGCTCCCTCACAATCCCCAAGACAGAGCACAGACTTCTTTCCGCAGCTGCCAGGCCTGGTGGGCTCAGCCTTTGCCCAGCTCTCTACCTCATGTTCCTCTGCTCCTGACTCCATGTTAAACCACTGGCGCCTCACATGACCTCTCACTATGTTGGGCATGCCAGGCAGGCCGTGCCCTTTTTGCCGGGAGCCTTTGCGCATGCGGCTTTCTCTCCCTGGCCCCTCTCTCTAGCCCCCCTCTCCACGTCAAAGTCCCAGCAGGCTGGAAGGCTGGGCCTCAGAGCCCGCTGACCAATCTCTAAAGCACTTACTACAAACCAAACACTCACAGGCATGACCTCATCTGATGTTCACACCCCCCAGAAGGTGCTGGTGTCATCCCCGTTTTACAAAGAAGGAAACCGAGGCTGAGAGTGGTCACATGGCTTGCCAAGGCACCCCGGAGCGCCCAGAGTGAGATTTTCAGATGTGTGCTCTCAGCGGGAGGCAAAGTGGCCAACTGGGACTTTTGCAATACCAAAATCAGCCACGTGGTGTCACCCTCCTCCCAAGAGGTCTGGCTGGGACTTGCTGGCAGTTTAGGGCTGGAGCCAGGGCAGAAGTCACAGAAGTGCTAGGGGTGAAGTTTTGCATTTTGTTTGCAAAACAGCCCCCCACCCTGCCCTGCAAGGATGCATAAATTAGCCTCTGGCCCTTCCCCATGGTTTCTTCCTTCCCTAGTGTCTTCCTGTCACCTCAGGGACTCCCAATATGGTGATACGAGGCCCCCTGGGGGTGGGGGCAGAAGGAAGTCCTGCCAGCATTCACTGTGTGACCTTGGGCATGTCTCTGGCTGCAGTCTCTGGTGGCCCTCACATTCCATGGCTCTAGATTCCCCAGCTGACCTGGGCTGAGGGCTTGGGTTGAGGAGAAGATTTGACCTCATGTGAACAGCACCGCTTGCTCCTAGGGTGAGCAAGACATGTCCCTGGTTTCACCTAATCTCAGCCTGGCCCTGCTGGTGTGAACTGGAGGGGAGGGTGGGTGGCCAGACTGGTTTGGCAGCTCTGGCTGGGCTCTGGAGGGTGGGGAGTTTGGTGGGAAGAAAGCCAGGGCTATGCTGTAGCAGGACCAGCAGGTGTCAGGACTAGGCCATGGAAGGTGCAGGGGCCAGGCCCAGATAGGGAGACGGGAAGCAGGCTCCTGGTTCTATAGGTCACATGTGCAGCCTCAGCAAGGGGACTGCGATCACCAGGCCTGGGAGGAGGCCAAGGCTACTGGGTTCACTGTTGGGAGATGCAGGAGTGAAGCTACTGTCTGTGTTTTGGAGTCAGGAGCTCATGATGGCATGAGGTGGATAGGTCCCCTCGTCCATCCATTTATCCACCCATCCAGGGCTACCGGATGTGGTTGTACGGGTTTTTCCCTGTCTGAGGGGGCACGTGTGGACCAAACTCCAGCTCATGTCTGTTCACTGAGCCTGACTCAATGGGTTTGTTCTGCTCTGCTCTCAGCCTTCAAGTCTTGGCTACAACATGGCAACTCTCTTGATGAGTGGCTCGGGGTGATAGGTGGGGTGGGGTGCATGGAATGTCAAGGCCCTGGATTCCCAGTCTCCATGGGACTTGCAACATTGAAGAAACTTCTGCTGGAGGCAGGGCGCAGTGAGGAAGCTCTTTCAGATCTGGAGACAGTGGGGCGTTTGGCCTGTCTCCCTCTGGTTGCCTGGACCTATAGCTTGGGCTCCTCTTCCATTTCCCTCCCTCTTGCATTTCCCATTTGATGTAATATGGCCGAAGGAAGTGGGAAAGAGAGGAAAGGAACCTGGGGTCTGGTCCTGGTTCTGGAAGACTCAAATATGAATAAGGCAGATAAGAAACTAAGGTGGTGGACCTGCAGGCATCATAGATGTACAGGCAAAGGGGTTCCGCTGGACCTGTGAACCCCTGCGGACTCCTGCATATGAACCCTGTCCTGGGTCTCTGGGGGGCTGCTGTGAGGAGCATTGAGGTTCTGTGTGCCTGTAAGATAGGTCCTTGTGCTAGGGATAAAGGCTCCGTGTGAAAGATGCAGAGACAGATGAGACAACGGCAGGAGAACAGGTGCAGGGGCGTTGTTAGTGGCCCGGGCTCTATTTCTGGCCCTGCTTCTCACAGCCTCTGTGATCTTGGATAAGTCAATTAATAGCTCAGGCCTCAGTTTTCTCATCTATGATTAAGGGAGCTGGACTAAGAATACTTGCTGAGGCCCTGACAGTGGGAGGGCCTGGAAAACTCCCTGGTTGGAGTCTGCAGAGGTAGGGTAGCTCCCTCTACGCAGGCTGCTGCTCACCTCCTCCGCGCTCCATGCAGCCATCTGGCAATCATGAACTGAGCCGTCCTCTGGGTCAGATGCTTTGCCGGGTCCTGGTGCTGACAGCCAGCCCCTTACCTGGGAAGACAGACACAGTCAGACAATCATGGAGCATGGTGCCAAAGCTGACACAGGTGTGTGTGTGTGTGTGTGTGTGTGTGTGTCTGTGTGTGTGGAGGGCCGTCTCTGACTCAGTAGAGACGTTCTTGTCAGGCTTCAGCAGGGAAGGCATGTGCAGATTGGGTCTTGAGGGATGTGTAGGAGTTCCTCAGTCCAAATAGTCGGCTTCCCACAGGTCCCTAGGGAAGTGCTCTATGGGAGTCCATTTGTACTTGGGGCCCCAGGGGGAGGCTGTGTGGACTCAGAGCTTTGCTCAGGGGCTCTACCTCCCACCAGGCCGAAACCCACAGGAAGAGACCAGGATGGTGGCTCAGCAGCCTGAGGGCTGCCATCAGGGCCTGATCTGGGCCCAGACTTGGATAACTTCCATTCTCAGTGCTTCTGGTGAGCCTGGAAGGGGTGACAGTCACCTGTAGTTTCCTTAGGGCAGGATGCACCTGGAAAGATGATCCATCCTTTAACGGGACAAGCCTATGCAGAAGTCGGCACCCACTGGATTTGGGGAAACCTTGTTTCTAGGAACTCTTTCTCCCTGTTACTTCACTGGGGAACCCAGCTTCCGCCCTGTGTCTGAGGGCCTCCTTGGAACCACCAGAGGTAGCCTGGTAGGGTGGGAAGACCCTGGGTGTCTAGCCCTGGCTTGCTATTAATACCACCTGGCTGTGTGACCTCAGGTGAGATGTTTAACCTCTCTGGGTCTGGCTTTCTCTTTTCTCTAAATGAGGAGGTGAGACTAGATTAGAGGCTCTAAACTGTGTTCTGAAGGAGCTGTAAGGTTTTTGGAGGAGCTTTAGGGGCCAAAGAGGGTAAGAAAGAGATGAATCCAAGGGAGTCTTAAGGGGTCAGGGCTCTGGGACCCCTGCCCACCTCAGAGAAGTGACCTACAGTCAGAGAAGCTCTGGTTTTAGGAGTTAAATCCGTAAGGAGGCAGGATCCTGTAGTGATCCCGCCCTTGACTTAGATAACCTGATTCAAATCCCCGCTCTGAGCCTTAGTAGTGAGAACTTGGGCTGATTGCTCACCCCTCTCAGCTTCAGTTTCTTTAACTTTAAGATGGGACAAAAGTTGGGCGTGGTGGATCACGCCTGTAATCCCAGCACTTTGGGAGGCTGAGGGGGGCGGATCACCTGAGGTTGGGAATTCGAGACCAGCTTGACCAACATGAAGAAACTCCATCTCTACTAAAAAAAAAATACCAAATTAGCTGGGCATGGTGGCACGTGCCTGTAATCCCAGCTGCTTGGGAGGCTGAGGCAGGAGAATCACTTGAACCTGTGAGGTGGAGGTTGTGGTGAGCCAAGATTGCGCCACTGCACTCCAGCCTGGGCAACAAGAGTGAAACTACGTCTCAAGAAAAAAAAATAAAAAAAAAAAAAAGTGACAAACAGCAGTACCTCCCTCATCAGGTTACTACGGGATTAAGTGAGATTATATATGTTGGACTCCAAACAGCCTGATATATAGCAAGCATTCAGTGAATCTTTATTTTTCTTTTTTTCTTTTTTTTTCTCTGTCGCCCAGGCTGGAGTGCAGTGGCACGATCTCAGCTCACTGCAAGCTCCGCCTCCCGGGTTCAAACAATTCTCCTGCCTCAGCCTCCTGAGTAGCTGGGACTACAGGCACCAGCCACCACGCCCGGCTAATTTTTGGTAGTTTTAATAGAGACGGGGTTTCGCCGTGTTAGCCAGGATGGTCTCGATCTCCTGACCTTGTGATTCGCCCGCCTCGGCCTCCCAAAATGCTGGGAGTACAGGCGTGAGCCACCGCGCCCGGCTGCATTCAGTGAATCTTAACTAGAGTCATTGTGATTCCACATAGCCATCTGCTTGAGGAATTTGGCTGTAAAAATAAAAGATAAAAGTCTGAACACTACTGGATGGGATAGTCTAGAACAGGGTGTCCAGTCTTTTGGCTTCCCTGCGGCCCATTGGGAAAAGAATTGTCTTGGGTCACACGTAAAGTACACTAACACTAACCATAGCTGATGAGCTAAAACACACACACACACACACACACACACGCAAAAAAAAATCTCATAATGGGGCCAGGTGAGGTGGCTCACACCTGTAATCCCAGCACTTTGGGAGGCCAAGGTGGGTGGATCATGAGATCAGGACTTCGAGACTAGCCTTGCCAACATGGTGAAACCCCTTCTCTACTTAGAGATACAAAAAACTTAGCCAGGTATGGTGGCGAGCACCTGTAATCCCAGCTACTTGGGAGGCTGAGGCAGGAGAATTGCTTGAACCCGGGAGGTGGAGGTTGCAGTGAGCTGAGATCACGCCAGTGCACTCCAGCCTGGGTGACAGAGCAAGACTCTATCTTGGTGGGGGGAAAAAGAAGGAGGCCGAGGTGGGAGGATCACTTGAGCCCAGGAGTTCGATACCAGCCTGGGCAACATAGCAGGACCCCATCTTTACACAAAATAAAAAAATAAAATAGCTGGGTGTGGTGGTGCACACCTGTAGTCCCAGCTATTCCAGAGGCTGAAGTGGGAGGACCACTTGAGCCTGGGGAGGTCGAGGCTACAGTGAGCTGTGAGCACACCACTGTACTCCAGCCTGGGTGACAGATCGAGACCCTGTCTCAGAAAGAAAGACTAAAAAGAAGAAAGAAAGAGTTGGGTGCATATAAGAAACCATCTTATATGCCCCCCTGCCTTGCAAAAAAAAAAAAAAATCTCATAATATTTTAGGAAAGTTTACGAATTTGTGTTGGGCCACATTCAAAGCCATCCTGAGCCACATGTGGCCTGCAGGCTGCAGGCTGGACAAGCTTGATCTGGAAGGTTTCTTCCCGTTCTTTCTTCAGAGCCACACCATGTCCCCTGACCATCCCCTGAGACACCTTGTCTCAGTCAGGGTTCTCTGCAGAAACAGAACCAACAGGATGTGTGTAGAAAAAAAGATAGAGATTTATTTAAGGAATTGTCTCACGTGATTGTGGAGCTGTGGCAGGTTCAAAATCTGCAAGGTAGGTTGGCAGGCGGGGTACCCCTTCCTATTGTAGTTCGAGTCCAGAGCCGTGTGCTGGCAGAATTCCTTCTTGCTTGAGGAGGTCGGTCTTATTTATTAAGGCCTTCAACTGATTGGATGAGGCTCACTCAAATTATGGAGGGTCATGTGCTTTACTGAAAGTTTGCTGATTTAAATGTGAATCTCATCTAAGAAATAAAAACCAACCAACTTGCTCAGAAACATCCAGAACAATGTTTCGCCAAATATCTAAGTACCATGGCCTATATAAGTTGACTCATTAAATTAGCTACCCCACGCCTCCAGCCCAGGCCGTGGAGATGAACCAGCAGGGCAGGCTGAGTGACCGGTGAGCAGGCAGGTGGCCAGGCCTGTGGCTCTGTGCCGGCCAGGGAAGGAGCTGAAACTGGACCAGGCATGCGAGTGGTTATCGCTGGGGTCAGGTGCACACTGAGGCTATTTGCTCATTTTCCGACCCAAGTCCAGGAGGAAAAGGCCATTTAGATCCCAACAATGTTGGCTTCCTGTGTTCCTGAGAGGCAGGAAGCAACCCCAGGACAGAGTACCGGCAGCCCAGCTGGGGCGGGAGCTGGGGTCAAGGACTGGGGGTGCAGTTCTTCACCCCGGCAGAGTAATCTAAGGGTCCCTTTCCACTAAGGGGCTTTCTGCTTCCTTTCAGGCCACCACTGGGCCCTGCTGTGCAGGGGCAGTGCTGACATTGTGGCAGAGATGGGGCTCCTGGGGCTCCATGGAGCTCTGGTTGGACAGGGTCACTGGTTCAGGAGGGTGCATGGGTGAGTTTGTAATTTCGGGGCCTTCTGTAGGAGCTGGGAGGTCATGATCTGCTCAGGTGGGGCCCATCCTGACATGTGTCTCTGTGGAGGATTCAGGAGAGGAGAAGGCTGGGGTTTTCCTGCTCTTGTTCCTCCCTACGTGTCCCCATCCTTCTGATGAGAAATGGTACCTGTGGAGTGAGCATCCCTGTCACTCACAGACTGGTCCCTGTCACTCATAAACTGGCTGTCTCCCCAGCAGTATCTGATGTTCCCAGGGTTGGAAACTGGGTTTTTCCCTTTCTCTGTTGAAGGGAGGAAGGGGTAGGTGGCAATGGTGGTGGGGGGTGTCTTAGTTGGGCTGTTACAGAATACATTAGCCTCTTAAGAGTTACTTTCTGGAACACAATGACTAATTACTTGGTAGGGTAAGGGAAGTGAGGAAGGAGTTAAAGCGAGGGTTTGCAGGCACCAAGGGGCAAGGTAGGACCCAGAAGATGGCCTCTGGCCTTGGTTCCCAGCATCTGCTACCTTTGGCTCTTGCATTCTGATGGGTCTTGTGTTCTGATATCAGTGATCCAGTACTGCATAAAAAATCACCCATAAACTTAGTGGTTTAAAATAAATACAGGCTGGGTACCATAGTTCACTCCTGTAATCCTAACACTTTTGGAAGCCTAGGCAGGAGGATTGCTCGAGCTCAGGCGTTCGAGACCAGCCTGGACAAATGGCAAAACCCCCTCTCTACAAAAAATGCAAGAATTAGCAGGGCATGGTGGCACATGCCTATAGTCCTAGCTGCTTAGGAGGCTGAAGTGGGAGGATCACTTGAGTCTGGTAGATGGAGCTTGCAGTGAACTGAGATTGTGCCACTGCACTCTAGCCTGGGTGACAGAGCAGTGCAAGACCATGTCTAAAAAAAAAAAAAAAAAAAAAAAAAAGAAAAAAGAAAAAAATCAAAATTATTATTCCACATGTTTTCCACGGCTCAGGAATTCATGAGTGACTTGGCTGGGTGGGTGGTTCTGGCTCAGAGTGTCTTATAAAGTGCAGTCAAGATGCCACTGGGGCCGTATTCATCTGAAGGCCTGACTGGGGCTGGAGGATCCAGTTACCACATGGCTCACTTAATGTTGTCAAGCTGGGGCTGGCTATTGGCAGGAGGCCTCAGCCCCTCACCACATGGCTCTCTCCATAGGGCTGCTTGAGTGTTCTCATGACATGGTCACTGGCCCAGAGCAAATGATCCAACAGACCAAGGCTGAAGTCGAAGTGTCTTTTATGGAAAAGCCTCAGAAGTCACACACTGTCATTTCTATAATATCTGACTGATTATATAAATCAGCCCTATTTAGTGTGGAGGGGACTCCAGAAGGGTATGAGTAGCAGAGGCAAGAAATATTGGCAGCTACCTGCGAGGCTGGTTGCCACAGTTTCCCTTTTTGTAACCCATCTGAATATTTCATCGATCTGAAAGTGAGAGGCCAGCAGACTGGCAGGCTCAAACTTGAGATTACAGCAAGAGGGATGCAAGTTAGAGAGGAGGACATACTGTCCGTTAGGAGATGTGAGATAGGTGGACAGGCATGCATAGGGGGCTTCCCTGGAGGAAACTCAGCAAGCGGGCCTCCTTGGTGTTGGAGGCAGATGCTTCTGCAGGTGTCAATATCCATTCATGGGGGCTTGGCCAAGCCTGCCCTGCTTGGCATCTGCCACTTGCTTTCAGTTTGCTAGCTTTTGTCTTCTGGGCTGGGAGCTGGAGTGGGGGTGGTCTTCCCTCGTTCTCCTCTGTAGAGCTGCCAAGGACAAGCTTTCTGCATTCCAGTGTGCAGGAAGCACTCAGCATAGCGTATTGCAATTACCTGATGATTTCTCCGTTTGCTTCCTCACTTGGGGGCATTTGCTGAGTGTGTGCCCACTGTGTGACAGGCAGGGCTGCCCTGTACAGTCATGCAGGCCATGTGCTGCCAAGGGTGCCTACCCGAGACAGCACAGGAGTCAGCCCACCCTTTGCCTACCAAGCCATGCATCTTGGCACAGGGCCGATCTGCCTGGAGAAAGGGCACCTTCTCACCATTTCCACAAAGACACTGTGCATGAACCCAGCTGTGTGTCCCCGGGGCTGGTCTGCCCAGAGGGTGGGCCTCCTTCTAGTTTGCACAAAGATGCTGTATGGTCTCGTGGGCCTGAAGCAGACACTGTTCTAGCTGCTGGGGCTACGGTACGAAGGAGAAAGGCATGCTCCCTGCCCTCCCGAGTGTAGTGTGGGGAGATAGACTAGAGAGAAGTTACCCAGGGCAACTTTAGAAAATAACCAGGGTGCTGAAAAAGAATAATTGGAAAGCTACTCTAATTTGCGTGGTCAGGGGAGGCCTCCTTGAGGAGATGACTTTGGGTGGATTCCTGAAGGATAAGAGGGATTCGGTCCAGGGAACGATGGGGTGCTGGGGTGAGGGGGAGTGTTCCAGGCAGCTGACACAGCAAGTGCCAAGGCCCTGAGGCACTCTGGGAACTGTCAGAGTGTGGAGCATGCTGGAGGGAGGTGGAGTCCGGCCCCTATTGTGTCCCTCATGTCTAGACTGGGTGGATACTTAGAAACTCCTTTTTGGTTGGACATGAGACGTTGAGGTGGCGGTCTACAGCTCAGGAATGATCTGAGAGTGGGGGGGGGACATGACTAAATGGAGGTGCGTGTAAACCTCAGGAGAGATCTTTCAGACAGGTCCAACTCAGCAAACATTAATTAAGCCTCGCCTGTGTACCAGGCTCCTCCTTCCTTCCCTCCCTCCCTTTGTTTCCTTCCTTCCTTCCTTCCTTCCTTCCTTCCTTCCTTCCTTCCTTCCTTCCTTCCTTCCTTCCTTCCTAGCTATTGCCCCAACCCCTAGCCTTAGCCTTCCATTACCTTTAATAGCCCCATCTCCTCCCTCCCTCCCTCCCTCCCTCTCTCCTTCTCTTTACCATTACTCTCTCCTTTCCTTCTCTTCTCTCTCTCTCTCTCTCTCTCTCTCTGTGTTGCTGTGTGTTCATGTGTGTAGGAGAGAGAGAGAAATGATCCCAGAAGGCATACATTTATCAGACCCACCTTCCTTCCTTCCTTCCTTCCTTCCTTCCTTCCTTCCTTCCTTCCTCCCTCCCTCCCTCCCTCCCTCCCTCCCTCTCTCCTTCTCCTTCTCCTTCTCCTTCTCCTTCTCCTTCTCCTTCTCTCTCTCTCTCTCTCTCTCTCTCTCTCTCTGTGTGTGTGTGTGTGTGTGTGTGTGTAGGAGAGAGAGAGAGGCAGGTCCCCCAGAAAGGAGCATACATTGTCAGACCCACAAAGGGGAAGTTTCCTCTATTTGGATGGGGTGGGGCAGGAGAGGCTGCTGGTGTCCAAAAGGGAGCACCTTTGCGAAGGGAGGGAGTTGCTACCCGGGCTGGTGGGGGTGCTGAGGGAGAGGGAGAAGCAGAAAGGTCAGAGGGATGGTAACGCTTGTGTGGCTGAGCGGGGAGTATGTCCTGCTGTGGCCAGGGTGGAGATGTCCCTGAGCTGGGTTGGGTGGCTGGTGGGGTCAGGAAAGCTTTGCTCAGCACCGGTGAGTCACAGGCCTGGGCTGGGCCAGGACTAGGTTCTGAGAGAAGATCCCATGTTAGGGACAGTGGCCAAGGTCCCTTTCCAGGCACCACCCAGTGTGCCTCCCAGCTTCTCCCTCTTCCCCATTCCCAGCCCCTTCTGCCTCAGACAAACCAGAAGAAGCCTAGTGTGGGGAACCCCGGAGCCTCTTTGGGCTGCTCTTGGTCCTCGTCTGTGCCTCAACCTCCCTTTCTGCCCTCTGCTGAGAATCAGGCTGGTTCAAAGCTGGAAGGGGGTGGGGTGCAGTTGATCTAGGAGAAGGAGGTGGAAGGCTGTGGTCCTGGGCTGTGGCTGTGAGGATTTGGAGTCAGGGCACTCCCCTACCTCGCCCTCCCCATTTCTCTAACCAGAGTTCCTAACCCCCCAGCCTTAGCAGGTCCTGGGCAGCCAACAAGACCCAAAGCAGTGCAGAACCCAGGAGACCCCTCACCCACCCATGAGATCTGCAGGGAGGTCACCAAATCCCTTGGTGGAGTCCCAGAGCCCTGGAGGGTGGGGCAGCAGGGCTGGGGACATTCCAGGCTTTGGGAACCTTATAGGAAATTTGATTCCAGCTTCTGGTAATAGGAAGAAGAGCAAGTCCTGTGTGTGTGTGTGTGTGTGTGTGTGTGTGTGTGTATGTGCATGTGTTTCAAGTCATGCACATGAAGTTTATGTGAGCATCTGTTCACATGTCTGTATTCACAAATCTGTGTCAGGCTGCATCTAAGGGTGTCCCACAAAATTGTGTGTGTTGGTGCCCTGGGTCAGGGGTCTTCTTGGATGAATCTGTGTGTGACGCTGTGTGTGTGTGCACGGATGTATGTATGGATGGGTGGGAGTGGTTCTGGGTGAGTGTGTGTGTGTGGGTGTAATGTGTATAGGCATGGACCCTCCCCTGGATTCTGAATTGGGTCTGTGTGTCTGCCTCTGGGTCAGAGTAAGTGTGATTGTGGTTTGCGATGTCGTCTGCTTGCCTGGTGTGTGTGTAAGGCGAGAAGGCCCCCCTTATTCCTTGGTGGGGCTGGCGTGGGGCCCGGGTCCGGGCTACCTCTGCCCCTGGCAGGGGTCCAGTGGGGGACTCCCCCTTGCTCCCCCCACCTTCCCGCACCCGGAGAGGCTCTGGCGCTGGGAGCCCCCTGCCTCCCCGGCCGCGGGTCCGCAGTCCCGGGCGCTCCCGCCCCGCAGGCCCGGCAGCCGCTCCCCTCCGTCCCCTCCCTCTCTCCCTCTCTCCCTCTCTCCTTCCCTCCGTCCCTCCTTCCCTCCTTCCCTCCCGAGCGCGGATTGCGGGCTGGGGTGGGAGGAGATTTCGCGGAGTTTCCATTTCATACCTCGCGGCTAAAACTTTCTTTCTGTGTCTCGCCCTCTTGCAGTCTGCAGCTTCTCCTGTCATCGGAAATGCCAGGCCAAGGTAAGGGGCCGCGGGCTGGCGGGCCCGGGAGGACTTGGGACAGGCCTGGCTCGGGGTCCCAGACTGGAGCGGGGGCGCCGGCGGGGTGGGGGCGGTGCCCGGGGCGTCCCTCCTCCTCTCTTTGTTTATGCAAAGCGCCTGGGCCTGGGAGCGGGCGCAGGTCAAGGTGAAGGCGAAGGCCCGGGGGCGGGGGCAGGGGCAGGCTGGGGAGTCGGGGGATGTGAGTTGGGGGCGCGGCGCGCAATCTGGGCGGTTACTGGGGGTGTCTGGTGGGGACCGAGCTCCGAGGGAGCGGCCTTTCAAGGTGTTTCTGCTAGTTCTCAAGGGGGAGAGGGGAAGGGGGAGGGGATCCATTTCAGTTACCCCGGGCCGCGCGAAGCCCCAGTTGGCCCAATTTGGCCAACTAGAAAACCTCAGTGTTCACAGCCACAGGACCCCCAGGGCAGGAGAAGCGGGTGGGTGGCCTAAATGGAGAATGAGGTCGGGGGTCAGGATTGGTTGGTCTGGAACCCCCTGAGAGACTGTCCCTTCCTCTTTATTGGCCAGGTCTCCTTTTGGTCCTCAGTTTCCCCGTGAGTATTTCCTGGCTGGTCTTGGTGGGAGAGGGAAACTGAGGCAAGAAGACTGGAGGGATTGCTGGGCCCTGGTTGGCCAGGCTGGCTCAGCCCCTGATGTATCCACTGAGGTTTGGACCCAGGAGTCATATATCAGCTTCTCGGAATAACAGGGGGTGGGGGATCCGCACCAAGATGGGTTATGAGTTTGGGAAGGAAATGGTTCTGTCCAATGGCTCAGCTCTGTCGGGGGGTGGAAACGGCATTCCTTGCCTTTCCCTTGCAAAAAATGTCTGCACCTTCTCCCATCCTTGCTTGTAACCCTCCTTGCCTTTTCACTCCCTGCGTTTGCTCTTCATATTTGATCTTTCAAGGAGTTCAGGGAGTAGAAGAAGATGCTTCCAAAAGGAGCATTCATTGAGCAGTTGGGGACCTGTATCTGGTGCATTTCATGTTTTGCTTCTTATTAGCTGGGTGGCCTTGGGCAAGTTATGTACCTCTGTGAGCCTCTGTTTCATCCTCAAGGATATGGGAATAAGAAGCCTACCTCATAAAGTTGTTATGAGAATTCAATGAGATAATGTATGTGAAGTGCCCAGCCCAGTGCCTGGCATAGGGTGGGTGCTCAAAAATGTCGTGACTGATGCTCAGCTACTGGGAACTTGGAGGGACAAGTGTTACCTTGGAGAAGGGGTGCTGATGGATCAAGCAGTTCTGGGAGGAATCTTCCTCCAAAGAAACTTTACTTAAGCCAAGCACACACCTTGCTGGAGGGCGTCTCCATCTGTAGACTCCAGCTTGGAATGTTCCCCTTGCAGAGGTGCAGAGGGCCTGGCTTGCAGCAGGTACCTCCATGCAGTGAGTTTTCTGCCCCTTCCCTTGTCTTCTGCTTTCCTGTGGCCTCCCTCAGCCTGTTCTCCCCTGGAGAGAGAGTACGTTTCTGCTTCTCCTTCCACCTCCCTCCTTGTTCTGTTTATCCAGAGCAGAGGGTTTTTTTTTTGCCTTAAACACCAGAACTTTCCAGTTTTCTTGCTCCTCCCCAATCTACCCCTTCTTCTTTCCCTTCCTGCAACCTTTTCTCTTAATAGCAATGGACATTTGTACAGTGCTTTGGATCTTAGACAGCATTTCACACGCATTATCAGACTTTGTTCTTTTAATTCCTTTAGAGCATAAAACATTGGCCAAAAGATCCTGTTGTTTTACAGATGAGGAAACTGAGGTGCCCCAGGTTGAGTGACATCCTCAAGGTGTCCCAGTGTAATTCTTCACCTGCTCTCTGTCCCTGGGCCTTTGTGCTTCCTTTTCCTTGTCCCTCACTGCCTACTGGCATGCATTTCTCCATCCTTGCCTGCCACTCCTCCTTTTTCTTTCCATCTCTTGACAACAGCAGGATACATTTAGGGAGGATAACGGGATAAACTTACGGGCAGTGAGGATCTGATTAGGGGAGATGGGTGGCCCAGAGAGGCCCAGAAAGATGTGACAGATGGCCCCTTGTCATGCAGTAGCCTTGTGCATGGGAGCAGGTAAATACCGAAGATGACTTTTTGGGGGCATAGCCTACTTCAGGAGTCTCACGTGTGCTGGGGGCTCAGAATGCACCAGGCTGCAGCAGTCCTGCTCTGCCCTGCTCAAGGAGGCCTCCTAAGTGGAGGAGAGGGTATACTGGCAGGGCAGTAACCAGAGAGACAGATGGGCTTTGTATAGGAGTTTCCTCTATAGGGAATGGGACCCACTGGTGGTGAGCGCTCCACCCAGCTGGTGGGTCTCTCCCTGAAACCACAGCTCTTACTGCTGCCCTGCCTTTTTCTCCTGCTGGGAAGGGCAGCGGGAGCCACAGAGCCACAGCAGAGCTCTATACTGTGGATTTTATAGCCTTGTCAACTTGGAGGTCATCTTGTCCATCCCCTGCTTCTAGGCAGGATGCATTAATGAATGTTTAGTAATCTCCTTCCATGAGCCAGACACTGTTCCAAGTGAACAGATAGAGACGGTCTTGGCCCTCATGAGTCTTGCAACAGGGGAGACAGGCACTAAATAGGCAAGCAAATTTTGAAGCGAATGAGCTGGAGCAACAGGTTAGAGAAGAATTCTGCTAAGGTAGCCCAGGAAGACTCCTTGGAGGAAGAGTTGTGTGAGGTGGGACCCAGATGATGATGTAGGGGAGGAGAAAGAGCAGGTGCAAAGGCCCTGAGGTGAGAGGAGCTTGTTACACTTGAAAGAGGGCTGGAGAGTAGTGAGTGCTGGGGAGTTTGGGCCTGAGGGATGCGATTGGATTTCCACTCTGAGAAGGCCATTCTGGCCTTGAGCAGGCACCCGGATGGGAGTAGGGACATGGGCCAAGAAGCTGCTGGTGTTGCCTACTCGAGACAGCCTGGTGGCTTAGTCCATGGTGCTCGCCAGAAAGGCAGTGAGGAGAAGCTGGGTCTGGGATGCCTTCTGAGGGAGAGCTGGAGCCTCACTGAGCCATCGGATGTTGGGTGTGAGAGTGGGAGTGGGCTTAAAGATGACTCCCAGGTTTTGGCCAGAGTAGTTGGGTGCACATGGTTTCACTTACTGAGATAGATGAGGTGTGTGAGAAATTTCTAGGAAAGATGGCTCCAGGGTTTCAGCTTTGCTTGGTCTCCTTTCACAGTACCACCATGCACTTGGGGTTTCTTGCTGATGTTGATCCTTCCCTATTCAGCCTGCTCTAGCCACTCCTCCGCTAAGTGGCTGCTTCCTAATGCCTTCACACACCACCCTCAGACTGTTCCTGCAGCACGAAGCGATGGTTCTGACAGGGGCTGTGTTATGTATATGGAGTGATATGGTGTAATAAATGGCCCCCAGATTTAGTAGCTTAAAATAGCATCAAACACTTATTATCTCATGATAATAAATGTTTTTAGGGGGGTCAGGATGTTGGGAGTGGCTTAGCTGACTGGTTCTGACTAGGGGTCTCTCATGGGGTTGCAGTTGAGATGTTGGCTGGGGCTGTAGTCTTCTGAAGGCCTGACAGGCTACAGGATCATTTTCCAAGGTGGTTCTGTCATGTGGCTATCAAGTTGGGATTGGCTGTTGCCAGGTAGCCTCAGTTTCTTGCCACACGAACCTCTCCATAGGGCTGCTTGAGTGTCCTTACAACATGGTGGCTGGTTTCCCAAGAGTGAATGAATGATTCAAGAGAGAGCAAGGCAGAATTCACAATGTCTTTTATACACTATCCTTGGAAGACACACTGTTGTTTCTGCAATATCCTATTGGTTACATAGGTCAGCCTTATTCAGTGTGGAAAGAATCTACATAAGGGCTTGAATACCATGAGGCAAGAATCAGTGGGGGCCATCTTGCAGGGTGACACTATAGAGGCCCAGAGACAGGGCAATGCAGACCTGGCAGCTAGGAGGCCATGGGAGTGTTGGGAAGGGCAGGGTACGGGAATCAGACCTACTTGGGTCTGATTGAACTCTACCCCCGCTGCTTTCCAGATATGTGAGCTGGGTTGCAGAGGATTAAATGCACATTGGCATATAGTAGGCACCTTTCTCCTTTCTTGGAACGATAGTTAAAGCCTGGAAAGAATCACAGATATTCTGTTCCCAGCTCTCTGCCACTTGGACGTGCTTGAGAGAAAATGCTCCTGCTGGTAGAGGTAGAGCTTCAGTGCCGGCTCACAGTCAATGTTATCTATGTGTTGATTGCGCATCGGAAGGCTGGGAGCTAGGTTCCACCCCAGCTTCCCGAATAGTACCTAGTCCATAGTAGGAGTGCCAATAAAGGGATAGAAGGATGGAATAAAGGAATTTTGAGAAACAAGTCCTTCCTTTCTGGGGAGAGGCTGAGGGGATGGAGGAAAGCAGGAGAGAAGTAGCAGCAAAATCACTTTAAATACCCCTCCCAAAAGCCTTCCTACCTTCTGACACAGAGGGTGCTCCAAATAATAATTCTAATCATATTCCTTTTTCTAATTGGGGTATGATTCACACTCTCAATTATACAAAACTCAAATGTACATTCTGATAGATTTGTACATACCTGAGAACCAGATCATGATCTAGAACATTCCCAGCACCCAAAAAGCAACCCCTATGTTCCTTCAAGTCAATATGCCCCAAAGGTAATTGCTATCTTTATCTGTATCATCAGAGATCAGTTTTGCTTGTTCTTGAATGTTCATTGAAATGGAATCACACAGTATGTTTGCTTTTGTGTCTGGCGTATTTCGCTCAGCGTTATGTCTGGGAGGCTCATCGTGTTCTTGTGGGCTGCAGGAGCTCATTCTTTTTAATTGCTATGTTGTATTCCATTATGTGAAGAAACCACAATGTATTTATCCATTCCACTGTTGATTGCCATTTGGGTTCTTTCCAGTTTGGGACTGTTAGGAGCAGACCTGCTATGAACCCTTAGTCACCTCTCTCTACACAGAACTTTGTAATCTACAACATGTTTTCCCTCGTCTTTGTAGTTCTGTGAGGTGG